TTAAGTTTGATGAAAAACATTTCTTCTTCTTCTTCTTCTTGTATTGAATAGTTTATTAATTATCAAATTCTGATTTCTCTTCTTTTACTTTTATTATTTTACTGGTTTTTGTGAGAATCAGATTACATTGATTCTGCGTACTGATATTTTTAATGAACAAAATGCAGGATAGTCATGTAAAAACAGTCAAATAGATTTTATTTTCGTTTTAAATGTTGATAGTCATTAAGAAAACGAATAAAAAAGATTAAGTTGTCTTATTAAACGTTTTGTGTATACTGGAGAGTGTACTGAAGTAAAGAGTTCACAAAATTGTATTGATCCTTTGATTAATCTTTACTTTATCAAGAAAAATCAACTTTTTCTTTTAAAATTTATTAAAAAGCTAATTTTTAATCTTCAAGTAATATAATAATGCTCAAAATATTTCAATAAAAACCAACTGAAGATTATTATGTGAAAAAAAAAATATGGGAATGATAATTAGTTCTAAAGTAGTTTTCTTTTCTTTAATGTTAGCTCTATTTCATTTATATATTTCAATTGAGTTGATAAAAACAGAAACGCATCGTTTGGAGGTCATAGGAAGTGAGCCAAAATTCATGTGAACCAAAATGCAGTCCGCAGTGCATAAAATATCAATATGAAAATATACATCAAAGAAAGTTAGCGATAGGTGGCGTTCTGTATGAATATCACTTGCATCAGAATGAATACGATATTCTAAATTCATTTGTTTATCACGAACACGCACAAGAAGTTAACACAAATTCATTTGGGTAGGGATTTTGAAACCAAATGAATTAAGATATAAGTAAATTAAAGTGTAATCGTTCGTTCAACTATGTGTTCTCTTTTATAAAAGTAATGAAGTTCAATGAAAACTGATTTTTTTTCATTAAATATCGATTGAACTTGGTTAAGTTATGATGTCAAATTAGAAGCATTAGACAATAAACTTCAAACCAGTGAAGAAAGAAATAATAAGGGTGTCAAATTTTTTCAAATAATGATGGTACGATTTTAGTCGACTTCAAAATAATATTATAGCATTTTTACATGAAATATATGTTCTACTCATTCAGTATTTTATCCACAGTATTTACATCTTCATGCTCACTCTAGATACTACACTAATTGGTTCATCATTTAATTCATTGATAAAATGAAACATTACTTTTTTTTAATGAATGGTTCATAATGAGATGATGTCAGTGATTGCAACATATTTTTACCTATTAATTGAGTTGCAGATAGGGACAATATCTTGTCTTTCATGTATCTCTCTTAATTGACTTTCTGATATACAACTATTTTGTAATTCTCTTCTTTCCTTCTCCTCTTTGATGTCATTGCACGTTTGATCTTATGTGCTTTTCGATGTTTAAAGAAACTATAGATACTGATCAAGTAGAATGAATTTGGAAGAAATGTGTTTTGAGCACCAAAAAAAGAGTGAAATGAGCACCAAATTGATTATATGTGAAAAGAGCACTAAAAAAGGGTGAAATGAGCACCAAATGAACAGAACAGTACAAAAGGTATCAATTAAGATTTAAACGAATTACGACTGCAGTTCATAGGTACTTAGCTATTAAATTGTGATAAGCTCTACTCATATTCATTAATCCGATGACAATTCATAAATAATCTAATTAATTGGAGTAATGATTTGTATATAAAAAAAGTGTAGAAAAAAATAAAAATTCCAGTAGCAAAAACATGTCAAGCAAACAATATCAAATTTTAAATATCGTCAATACACTCAACGAAGCTGATATTATTTTAAAGCAGCATAATGTATCAACTTCAACAGTGGACATCATTCGACGAGTTGGTTATTTGGTTGAAATCTTGCTGGCTTGTATGCCCACTTAATTCATGTACATGTCCAAGTGGGTTGAAATCTTATGTATGCAAACATTCAATTGGTTTGGGTATGCTTCTCAACAAATACGAAATTAATGATAAAACTCGCTTACAGGTTTTGGGTAAACGACGTGGCAAAGGCAGGTCGAAAAAAGTTCGAACTGCTCTGTTATCATAAAAATTTTTTTCATAATAATCATATTTACATAACACGCATTTATTACCTTTTTGTGTTCTTCATGTTGTTCTGTGTGATGACATTATTTATTTTCTTATTTCACATATAAACAAATTTGGTGCTCATTTCACTCTTTATTTGGTGCTCTTTTCACAAATACTTAATTTGGTGCTCTTTTCACATATACTTAATTTGGTGCTCAAAACACTCCCCACCCATGAATTTAATATTAGCTTTATATGATTTGTTTTAGTTTTGATTCGTTTATAATTACGTAGAATTACAATTTTTGTTGCTAATGAATGATTTTTCGATAAATTGTTTGTAACAAAGAAATAAGGAAAGCAGTAATAATTACGACAATTAATGTATCATTACCAAATTTGAATAAATTTACGGAAATAATAAGAGACAAAAGGGATACAATAAATGTATGAATAAGAAATGAGAAACTAAGAGAGATAGCTTTTCATTTTTTTGAAAATTTGAGGGGAGTAGTGTAAACAAAACAACATCGTACGTTCACATCTTCATAACTTTTTGTAACTTCTTTTTGGTATCGATAGTTTGTTCAAAGATAGAATAAAAGCCGAGAAGATCAGAGAATTACAAGATCAAAAGGAGTGACACATTCAGAGAAGAGTAAGTGAATAGTTCCTATATTAGCCACATGATTGAGAAGAGACATGCGAGAAAAGATACCGTTCTTAGTAGCATCAAATTATTGCGTGTCCACCTTTCATACTTTTTCGTGACCAACAAACACATGACAATTATCATTAATTGGTATGCTCATTAAGACAAGCTAATTATTTCAAAAATACGTATTAGAATAGTAACTTATACAAAAATAAAAAAGATTTGATAGGATGGAAGACTGAAATCATTTTCTATATCAATACTAGTAGGGGATGACGCTTCGAACATACGTAAAAAAGATAGTTTTTACATTTTCGTGTCAATCGATTGCTATCCGTAAGTATTTCATCTTTATTTATAAAAACGAATACTGTTTTTAGGGGTAAATTTTTCTTATTTAATAGAATTTTTAACTCATTCATGATAATAAAAATCAGGTTTGCTAGATATTCTTAGAAAAAAAGAAAGTTTCTTAATATTTCTTGACGTTTTGAGTTTTGTGCTTTTGTACATTTTTCTAAACATGTCGAGCTGTTATATATATGTCAATGTCGTTAGTTGCATAAAATATAATAAAAGTCATCGTTAGGATAGTAATGCACTTCAGAATAACATAAATAGTAATTAATTTTACGAATAATTGTATAGATGATTCAATCTATCAAATTCAATATTGAGCACAGTTCTCAAAAATTGATGAAACAAAAAAAACGAAAAATTGAATGAGTAAACTTTTGTTTCATGATGATTTGTGTGGTATACATTGGCATGATAGAAAAGAAAAGAAAAGAAGAAAATAGACAGATGGTGATAAAGTATGGATCAATATCTGATTGGTTCATACGCTCTATATGAAGTGAGCCACAATCCTTTGGATAGCATGTTTGGGCTATGTTCACACTACACAAAGTGATTTAACTTAAAGTTGAATCACTTTGTGTAGTGTGTTTGACCCCTATGACCTCGTTTGGAGTGCTATATTATATGGACTTTTTATTTGATTGGTTCGTAACTTCTATATGAAGTGATCCTATTGCCTTTGGTTTATATGTTTGGTTCACTTCTGATGACCGAAATTTCTTTTGTAATTTTTATTTCTCGTCTTTTGATTAGTATTCATTTCGACAAATTGTAGTTTTTTTTGGTCATGATGACTAATAATGTTATTATGACTTTACACAGATACTTTGATTTTTTTCCCCCCTTCCCATCATGAGTCAGTGACCAATGAATGATGGCTACCATATATCTATATCTATATCTAATTATATCTATCTCTATATATATAAGAGCCATACCATGACTAGAAATTAGTACAAAGGAGAATTTTATTTTGTTCTATATACGTACAAACATTTTATTAATTCGGGTATGTTACATGTATAGATATTTAGTAGAGGTTAGCTTGATCAGATATCGATAAAAAATGATTAATTGATCTTTTAAAATCTAATTTTTCAATTTTGTTTGACAAAACTATAATCATCAATTTAAGAATAGATTCTAATGAAATGTTGATTTTATGCTTTTATTATTGTCTCCTTGTTGTTTGTAGGTCACTTTTGATTGAAATTTAGATATAGTGAAATAAAAAATATCTATAATTCGTGCAAATAATGGAAGAGTTTCAAGAAAATAACTTAATAAATGAGTATTATCATTTTTATTTTCTTTTTAATGTAACAATTACAATAGAAAATGAAGAAAAAATTGTAGACAATGTTAAACTAGATAAGATATTAGAAAGTTATTGAGAATTTACGAGAAAAGATAAGCCTTTGATGAGTCACATTTTAAAAATTAGTATAGAATTTCGAACCAACAAGTCTTATATAGTAGTTTAAATATTAAAAACTTCTAAATTTAATTTACAATCGAATAAGACACTTCTTGTAATAAGTAAATATAGGGAAATTGAATTGTTCACTATACAGAATAATAAGAGTTCAATATTTTCGGTGTTTTTTTTTTGTCCAAATTTTCTTTTTCGAAAGATAGATTTTACAAGTTTAGGAGAGAAAATATATGGCATCATAATCATAAACATCGAAAGGTTCAACTCGATCTTTGGAGATACGTTAATCTTCATATTGAATAAAATACTATATCTTTCTATGATATGAAAACATTCTTTACTAGAATTTTCACATTACTTGATTTCGTCAATTTTTCTAAATATCATCAAAAGTCATTTTTTATTTATTCTTAATGTAGTATAAAACATGATGTATCAATCATACAAATAATTGCAAGTATTGTATGAATAGGAAACTATGATCTTTTTGTTTTGTTTTGTTTTAGATCAATAAAGATAATGTCGTCAACATTAACTAAAGATAATCGTGATAAATTGAAATTAATTGGTGCACAAATATTTTTTCGTCATGGTGCACGAACTCCATTGAATATGTTACCAAATCTTGATGAAGTATTATATGATAAAGAATTACATTTAGATCGATATAAACCAGCTGATTGTGAAATAAAATTATTATTAAAAGATGGAGAAAAAACAATATCTGAACATGCATTTATTGGTCAAGATAATGTTCAAAAATTAAATGGAGGTATAGCATATTGTGGTCAATTAACAGCAATTGGTGAAAAACAAGTTTATGATGTTGGAAAAAAGATTCGTCAAAATTTAATTATTAAAGAAAAATTATTACCAAAATTTTATGATCCACATTTAATTTATACACGATCAACATATATTGATCGAACAATTCATTCAGCTCGATGTTTTCTAGCAGGTTTATTTTCTGATGATGATAATCAAACTATTCAAAGTAACAATCCATTTGAAATTGAAATTTATAGTTGGATTCATGAAATATTATATCCAAATCCTCGTATTTATCCATTATTAGAAAAACGTTTAAAACCAAATAAATTACATGATTTATTAGATATTGAAGATGATTTAAAAAAGGCAAGACAAGAATTTTTAGATCATATTAATCTTAATGAATATGAACATGGTTTTATTGAATTACATGATGATATTAAATCAAGAGAAGGTAATGTTATTTATCATAATCAATCATAGAATAATTCATTAAAAATCTCTTCTAATCATTTTCTTAACATATCATTTAAAGTGTTTTATTTTTTATCAAAAGAATTCTCTTCCTCCCTCTTTCTTTTTTGTGTCATACTGATAAATTTCATTTAATGAAATCCAATTCTTAATCAACATTGATTTTTCTCTTTTTATTTAGCTCATGGTTTTCCTGTTCCAGATAAATTAAAACAATTATCAATGAAATTTGATGAATATTCTGCACAAGAATATTTTTTAACAGGTACTCATGAACAATCAACATTAACAAAAGAATTATTTGTTAAAACAACAGTTGGATTAATGCTTAATTTAATTAAAGAAAATTTTGATCGTTTACAAAATGATCTATTAACAAAAAAGAATGATGAAATGTATTATAAATTTTATATTTATGCTACACATGATACATCAATAGCATCAATGAAACTTGCTTTTGATTTATTTGATATGATTTGGCCATCATATGCTAGTTATATTTTAATTAAATTATATTCTTCCATTGATGATCCAAAACAAATATTTGTTCATTTAACATTTGATGACAAAGAACAAATAATACCATGGATAAATGATTATTTTTGTCCATACAATATATTTATTGATCATTTAAAAAATCAAATAGATGATCGTGTTATATCATAGTCTAATTATATTTGTATTTTAACAAGTAAAGATCTAAAGAATAAATAAAAATAAAACCTAAAAGAATTGTATTAGATCAATAATAATTGTTCAATATCAATTTTGTATTTTATATCTAAGAAAAAAACTTTTCACTAAAGTCATCATCATTTTCGATATGAAAAATTACGGTATGAATTGTTTAAGTTCTATTGAAATAAGAAGATTCTTAAGGGAGTCTTCCTCAAAATCGATATGCCATGTAGGATGATCCGTTTAGGTTGAAATTTTCAGAAATGAATGATCATAGTAAGAAACACTTCTAGTAAAAATTTCAGTTCGATATGTCAAACTAGACGAGACTTGTGGCCTATTTATAGTTCATTTTTAGCCTGCTCGGGTTGGTTTCAAATTAAAGCTAATTCCAATGCGCAATTTTTCATCGGATAGAATTTTGAAATTAGTTTCCATTCATTTTTTATGATTGTTTCAGTACATGTGGGGTCGAAATAAGCCAAAAACAACGCCAGTGCATGACATTAAATCTCGCTTTTGTTATTGCAGAAATCAAATATAAAAAATCTGGTTGGACAATATTTTATTCTCGCTTAGATTTTTAAAACAAAAAAAAAGAAATATTGATATTATCTTGAATCGTACGGGTTATTTCCATTTTTCTGATAAAAAACCATGTTTTTGAGAAAAAAATAATAAATAAGTTTAGAAATTGATTTTTTTTTCATTCAAATCCAGAAGTAATGGGATATTGATAATATTTATGGGCAATTTTTGAAAGCACGCAATAGATGACATAAGCTAGTCCCACGGTCGTACTATGTCATATAAAAATATCTATTCTATGCTGATAGAAGTAGCAAAATAGTGTTCTCAAAAAATATCGAAAACAGTCAAAATCTGTCTAAAAACTTGGTAGTGAGCTGGAAATATTCTACGAAAGTCTGTTAAAATTTGATCTTTTTTAAAAAGCCTAAATATATTATGAAAGAGGAAACTTCACTGCAGGGCTCCGGATGGGATGAGATGGGACGAAAAAATCGTCCCATGGTACGAGTTGATTCGTCCCATCCCATCCCGTGGGATATCTAATTTTTTTTTTTTCATCTCATCCCATCCCATGGGATTTAGGGGTCGCCCCATCCCATCCCATGGGATCCCATGGGACAAACATCTACTGAAAAAATATTAAAATTTATTGAACCAATCACCATGGTAGTCATATTGAATCCTTTAATATTCTTCCTAACTATTTCCCTATCGCCACTTTATTTCACATTCAATTTCTCTACTATTTATATTAATTCACATGGTTCTTTTCGAAAAAGATACTGCGCATCTTGATCAACGCTAATGAATAAGGTAATCAACTCATCGAAATTTGTTAAGATAGATTTCAATTCGTCAGGCTCTGCTTGAGTCCAGAATTGACGTTTCTTTTTTGGAACATTGCAGCACGATGTTTCGAATCACTAACCAGTATTAACAATGCTTCTCTCGGGCATCGGAAACTTGATGTCTCATATTCTGATGATTTTCGTTAGATTTCTCAGATTTTTAAGGCGATTAAAGATTATTACATATTGTTGCACTATTCAAGGGATTTCTTCAAATGTTCACGGATTTCAATAAAATATAAAATAGTTTTAATCCAACAGATTTGATTTAGATTTGCTATCCACTAATTAGTTTCCTCTTTACCATGAGCTTTCGAGAATTGTATCGAAAGTTGATTTGAAGTACAAGTTAATAAAAACATGTACTCTTGTCGTTATGTCGTGATGAGTAGTGCCAGGAGTAGTATTAAAAAATAGAATAGTACAAAACACATGAAACTCAGAAAGAAATTACTTTGTTTTTAATAGTTAGTACGGTTTGTTAAAATGTTATTTTTATGCACGAGAGAATTGGACTTTATTTGAAAAGAAAATGATAATAAATAGAGTCTTAGATTTTTTCATCCTTTTTAAATAATAGTCTTCATCATAATAATACGTAGTAATACGAGTCTAACACACTTATTCGTCATAAACTAAGTTTCTTATTCATGTGTTATGCTCATATCAACTATTTTAACGCAATCTTACAGGATTGAAAGTATAACTTATTAATATTTGTTTTAAAATAAAATGATATCCTCTATGGGTAAAAACGATCGTTTCGTTTCGATACTCTGAAAGCAACAACTAAGAACTACAAGATAATTCATTATTTAGTTTTATATAAAATGATTTTTTTTTTAAATGGTACAAGAAAGTCAAATGTGAACTCATTTGTGTTAAAATAAAACAGATGTAATAAGGAAATTATGAAGTCTATCTTTCCCCACTTTTATAAAGTAGCTCGAACTATATTTCTACAGAAAATAATGTGCAAATTTTACTCAAAAATAAAAAGCACAAATCCCATGGGATCAAAGTTTTGTCCTATCCCATCCCATCCGGAGCCCTGCTTCGCTGCATCTTCCTATGATAAAAACTCAACTTCCATCACATTACAAAAAAAAATGGATTTTCTGAAGGGAGGATCTCCTTAATGAAATTTTTTTTGTAAAATCGTCTAAAATTAGAATAATTTAAGGTGCAATTCAACTGATATTTTCTCTAGTGAACTGCAAGTTTTGAAGTTGTATTATATACTTCAATCATATTAAAATAACAGTATAGTATATTAATAAAATTGATTATCCTACTAAAAGAAATCATTTTGGAAAAGTAACACATCATTTTGTTCAGTTTTTAATATTCTTTCTAATCATATAGTTAATATTTGAAAATTAAGAAAAACTTTTTCAATATGTGTTAATTAATATTAATTAATTAAAACTGATAACATTCAAAAAGTGCTTTTTTACCAATATATAGTCCTTTCCATTCTGTATTAAGTCATAGAAAAGACTTTTGCTTTTTTATGAAAAACATATTAAAAGTGTTTTAAACTGTTTTTGGTTAAAAAAAAGTGAAGAAGAAATCACATTTAATAAAATAGTATCGAAGTTTACATGAGTCTTCTTTTAGATTCAACTCACTATTCTCATAAGTAGAATGTTACTTATTCAGATATGAAATCATTTATGATAAAAAGAATTAAATCAAACTATCATTAGATTAAAAACAAAATTTATTTTTTTTTTCTTAATAGTAAAAATAAATAATTTTAAATTGCTGCATAAAGATAAACTGGGATTGTTAGCTTTTGCTGAAAGAATTTGTTTTATGTGTATAAGAAATAACAATTCGTTGTTGTAAATCAATATTAAGAATATTTTTAAGAAAAATTCGTAATAGTAAAATATGTTCATTAGATTATATCCATAAAGTGAGAAGATTTTCAATAATATGATGAATATGTACTGATGATATTAGAAGTCAAGAAAAAAACAGATTTAACATTATTAAAACCTTTTTTTTTTTAAATAAGTCAAAAAAGAAAAAGAAAAAGAAAAAGAAAAATTTCTTTTAAATAAAAATTTAATGATTTTGTTTTATCTTTTAATAGAGAATCATAATAATAAAGAACAGGATGAAGAAAATTAGATCGATTTGCAGTATTAATTGAAGCAGAAACATGATCAAATGAAAATACATCTAGATCTATTTATTTCAAATAAAAGAAAAATGATTTAAAAAAAAAATCGATTTTTCCTAGTCTAGAATAATTCATTCGATATGACATATTCAATATTAATAAATTATCTGATTAAAAACCTGTTATTTCTTGTAAACAAGATATTAATCTTACAGAATATTTTTCAAGATATTGACATTGACATTTTATTTTATTAATATGTCATTTAAAATAAAGAATAAAATTTAATAAATAAAAAGTAGAAACTTATCAATTAATATAATATTAACAAGTCGTCCAAATATTTGATAAATTGCATCAGCTTAATTCATTCATTCTTCTAATTAAATATAATTTGTTAATGTATAGCATGAAAAAAATGTTTGATGTCGATATTTTGTTGATGATAACGATATTGAAGTAGACGATGAAGAGCATAAGTTGTATAATGAAAACTATAAATAAAATTATCAGATGAGTTTCGAAAATCAATTGAATGAATTAAACGATCAACAAACTATCAATGATCACAGTATCAAATGATTGATAATCATCATGAATTTTTGGATATTTTATTGCTCAACCAAGAGTTTTGTTTTTCAATTTTAATTTCACGAAATAAAAAATTATAGAATTTTCAATTGAACTCTCTATGATCAAACGCATCACAAAAGTTTCCATACTAGATAATTGAGAAGTTTTTTTGTTTTAAGATTTAATTGATAAACATGACATGTAAATGTCTCGTAAAATCAGTTAAACCTGTTCAAAATGAGATACTATCATTATTGCTACTTAAAAAAAATATTTATTTAATTAATATCAAATAAGTCAGAATTTTAAAGATATACTTTGTTGATGTAGCAATAATATCCTATCAATATCGAAATATCGATTTTTGAAATAATTCTGCTGTTTGATCAGCTAATAAATATCTTCAAAAAAACAAAAAGAATAAATAGTAGATTAATTCTTTACTCTCGTCGAATGTCCACTGGTATGGACATGAATAGGAGAAAACGAGATAATGGAAACAAACAATCACATATAGTATCGCGCGAAGACAAGAGAGAGGTATATGAAAAATCAGTATTTATTCCATAGAAATGTATGTGCATGACGAAAATAAAATTGTTCTTTCGAACTCTTTTTCTACTTGTAGGCAAAATATATCTCGGAGATATGTTCTATAATTAATGTCGATGAAAATATTTACTATTGAATTAAATGTGTTTTACAAAACTGCTAATAGCTTGTCTGATAACAGATACTAACTTGTTTAATGAAACCTGAAATAGAGGTGTACCGAGACCGATACCAACAGAATAAATGATGAATGTCATCGTAGAATTTTTTTGTTTTTGTAAAACATTATCTCTTATGATTTCGAACAAATTATTTATTGTTATTAAAATATCTTCATTAATTATATAATTATT